CCTGAATGAAATGTAATTGTACACCTAACCCTTAACTGTACCCCACAAAACCATAATAAAAAATATTGATTAATAAAAAAAATGCATTGTACTTTTAGTACTATCTCTGCTCCCTCCTCTCACCATTCTAGCCCATTCTGTTAAATTTCTCCTTTCTGAGAGCATAGCTCACTGAAAAGGACATGTAAAGAAACAGAAACCAGCCAGGCTCGGTGGCTCAGCCTGTAATCCTGCGCTTTGGGAGGCTGAGGTGAGTGAACTGCCTGAGCCTGCGGGTTCGAGATCCACCTGGGTAATTTGGCGAGACCTCATCTCTACAATAAATCAAAAAAAAAATTAAGCCAGGTGTGGTAGCGTGTGCCTGTAGTTCCAGTTACTTGGAAGGCTGAGGTGGAAGAATTGCCGGAGCCCAGCAAGTCGAGGCTGCGGTGGTCGGGAGCGTACCACTGCACTCCAGTCTGGGCGACAGAGTGAGACTCCAACTCAAAAAAACCCAAACCAACCAAACAAACAAACAAAACCAGAAACCACAAACCAATCATTTCCTCGTCTTTTAAGGTATGTTCTCCACATCTTCTAAATACATTTCCTCATATGTAGTCATTAATTTCAAGTGCAAGATACTAAAAATGTGTGAAAGATATCTGAGCTCTCTGGAGAAATGTGCTGAATGAGGACAAACTATTCTCAAGATGCATTTTGTTAATATATATGGACTCAATATGTTGTCCTGGGAGAATAACAAATCATTTGACTTTCTATGAAGTAGAAGACCCAGTGATTTGAGAAACTCAGATCAAGCTCGGAGTTAAGGCTGGAAAGTTACCTTTTCTTCTGGGCAAAATGAACCCCCAGAAGGGTTCTGTAAAGTAGGATGGCTGATTTTCTGTAAAATAATTAAGTTAAATACCAACTCCATTTGGCATTTTCTCTGCATTCTACATTTCATTATTCTGCTGTCAATGTGCAGGGAGACTAATATTTGCACATACTAAATCAATATTATGCTTCCAGTAGTGAAAGACATCCTTGCCTTCACTTATTACTGATTCTTGTGTTGAAGTTCTAATCAATATACAGTTAAATGTTTTGACAGAAACTGGGATTTAGAATGTTTCTTTTCATCCCTGCTGCTAACTTGTTTTGGGGCAAGGCATTTTTAGATGAGCTTCTGTCCAGTGCATTTCCCTTGAAGGAAGTGAGTTGGGTTTTAGACAATATTCTCCTATACTGAATGTCAAGTAAACCCAACGTTTTCTGATAATGTTTAATGCCAGGACATAATAAAAAATAGTCATGATAATAAATAAGATCTAACAATTGTGTAACACTTATTTTGCATGAATGTTATCTTACAGCCAAAGGTATCACTGTATGCTTGACTATACAGTTTAGCTCATATGATTTCCATTCTTCCCGTAACCCTAGATGATAGGCATTTCTTTTTCTCATGATGCAATTGGTCAAACTGGTCCATAAACAATGAGTGTATATTTGGTCCAGAATCATATTAGTAGTTGGTGGCAGTGCTGGATTGAGACACAAGAACTTCTGTTTTCAGGGTCTAAGACCCTGTAGCTATATCATACGGTAACCAATGTAATGACAACCACAATTAATATTTACTGAGCACAAGAGAAAGGACTTTATGAGCATTGTATCATTTAACAAAAGCTCAAAAATGGTGGTTCTCAGGGTGATGCCAAGGCCAGTATCACCATCACCCGGGAACTTATTAGAAAGGCAGAGTCTTTGGTCCCACTCCAGATATATTGAATCAGAAACTCTGGGGGTGGAGCCCAGCAACCTATGGTTTAATCAGCTTTCTAGGGGATTCACATGCTGATGTTTGAGAACTGCCACTCTAGAAACCCAAGTTTCAATGAGATTAAAGAGCAAAATCATAAAAAACAACCGGGAATTATAAACCAAAACAACATCAAATCATGGAGAGTTTTAAGGCCTGTTTTGGCATGCCTGCATTTCTGCACACTGGCAATATCCCATGGCTAAGCGGAGCCGGACGCTTTATAGAAGACAAAGTGGTTTATAGGCATTATCACATTCGAAACTAAATTTTTGAGGTTGGTAATGTTTTTACTCCAAACTTACAGTGAAGAGACTGGGCAAGGAGATGAAGAAACTTGCCCCAACTTTTATAAGCAGTAAGTTTTAAACTCACGGTTCAAGCTCACGACTCATGGTATCAAAAATAAGGGTGTGAAAAATGATTTAAACGCAGTCACTCTTCTGTTTCTTCATGTGATGATTTCAACTCAGTTACTCTTCCACTTCTTAATTTGATTGAGAACAATAGCTAAATTGGCTTCCACATGTCAAAGCAGTATCTTACAAGCCTTGAAAGCATATTCTGAGGTCTGCAAAGGGAAGCCATTGAGTATATGGATAGCTCCCCACTCAGCTGTGCTTTTAAGACACAGGCTTGGAAACATAGATAGATTGGCTGTCAAGTTTGTTTAAATTTAGCAGTTGGATACTCGTAGGAAAGTCCTAAAGCATTTAAAGATGTAAGACACATCAGGCTTACTTTAGTTCTAAATCTGTGCGGCAAACAGCGGTAGCACACCGCAGGCAATGAAGGATCCCCCCAAGAATAATAATTGACCTAGGATCTTCCTTGCCCAGTGTACAAAGTGTTTGACACCTTGTCTCAGATAATCCTCAGAGGGGATTTCTGAGGTGACCTGTGCTCATTTAGCAGGCGAGAAAACAAATTCTCATGGAAGAGGGAAATAAACTCACAAGGAAGCGCATCATAAGTCTTATTATCTCTCATTCTTCAGGGAAGAAAGTGATACTTAGAGAAGTGAGATACTTGTCTGAGATTACACAGACGAGTGATGCAAGCAAAGTTCACCCTGAAAATCACATTCCAAGTGCTGTTCCTGCTATATATAATGTGCTGAAGACAACAGAGTGTACATGAGTGGGGGAATGAATGCATCATGGGAATTCTAGTTTTTCTAATTTCACCTCTTCCACCTCTTTCTTTTCTCTCATGATATCTATTACCTGATAGTCAATACAATTTGCAAAGAATGATGGCAGATACAAGAGAGATCTATGATTCCAAAGACAGGTCTAGGGGTTAGGGAAAGGAATATATGTAAGTGTACTATCTGCTTTTTCTATCTCTATCTTTATATTTATCTATCTATCTATCTATCTATCTATCTATCTATCTATCTACATCTCTCTGTCCATCCATCCATCCATCCATCCATCCATCCATCCATCCATCATCTCTTAGAAAGAGAGGCTGCAGAAAGTCAGTACAACTCACTGACTCATGTATATCTGATATTGGATCCCTGTTGGGTCTACTCTGTGTAAACAAAATATTGAAACCACTTTTCAAGGCTCAGTTGGCCTTTGCAGGCCACTAACACCTTTGGGGATTCTATATCAACCTATCTTGCCAGCCAGATGTGGTAAGCTGAATTTTCAAGGAAGATCCTGAATTTTCTGAGTTGAGCCCAAGGTTATTTTAGAAAGTCAGTGGGTCTTAATCCTGTGTGCCTGTTAGAATCAATGAGAGAACTTAAAATAGATTCTGCATAGATTCTGCTTTAAATGAACTGGCATGGGGTCTGGGCACAAGCAATTTTTAAATGCTCCTTTAATGATTCCAATGGGTAACCAAGTCTAAGAACCAGTAGTATGCAGGGCAGAGACCTGAACACCTAACTGTCATCCCATCATTCTTGCTGCTTCTGATGCATTTTAATAGATTTTGGGAACTAGTACTTGTATGATGTTTCTTTTTTTTTTTTTTTTTGAGTTGGAGTCTCACTCCGTCACCCAGCCTCAACCTGCTGGGCTCTGGCGATCCTTCTGCCTCAGCCTTCCGGGTAGCCGGAATTACAGGCACGCGCTACCACACCCAGCTGATTTTTGATTTATTGTAGAGATGAGGTCTCGCCAAGTTGCCCAGGCGGGTCTCGAACCCGTGGGCTCAGGCAATCCACTCACCTCAGCCTCCCAAGGCGTGGGATTACAGGCTGAGCCACCGAGCCCGGCTATTGTACGATGTTTCAATGTCTGGTCTCCTTCCAAATAATTGCTTCTTAGACTTATACCTCTGAATTCTGCATAGAGAAACCCACGGTCGCAAAGTGAGCAATTGACAAGGGTTAAGAAAAGAAAAAAAAAGAGCTTTGTTTTGGCTTACCCAGGGATTCCTCCAGATTCGAGTTTGTTTGCAATGTCCACATCCCAAGACCAGACGTCAAACTGCCACTTCCTCAGTCCCAATACACCGCACAGCACCGAGCCAGAGTGGATTCCAATCCGCATGTCAACATCATGCTTTGTCCTTGACCTCACATACCTGCCGACATAGGTGAGTAGACATATGCATAAGGTCAGTGTGAGTATCTTTCTGACAGTCCCTTGCCTACTCCGTAAATTCAACTCCTGCCCGTTTAAAGATCACCTCCTAGCCGGGCTCGGTGGCTCTGCCTGTAATCCTGCGCCTTTGGGAGGCTGAGGTGAGTGGATTGTCTGAGCCCGCGAGTTTGAGACCCGCCTGGGCAGCGAGACCTCATCTCTACAATAAATCAAAAAATCAGCCGGGCGTGGTAGCACATGCTTGTAATTCTGGCTACTCGGAAGGCTAAAACGGAAGGATCGCTGGAGTCCAGCAGGCGAGGCTGCGGTGGTCGGGAGCGGCCACTGCACTCCAGTCTGGGCGACCGAGTGAGACTCCAACTCAAAAAAAAAAAAATAAAGATCACCTCCTCTATGAAGCCTTCTGGGTTTCTTTAATAACCAGAAAGATTCGCTTTCTCCTCTGAACACCCCCCTAGCCTTTTAATTGTCCTTTTATGGGATCTTATAAACCTTATTCCCATACCTTCTATGTAACTTCTGTCTCAGGGACCGGCATCAGCACTTTTTTCCACCCAATCGTGCACAAACCTGGGATAGATGATTCGCTACACATTCCATATTCAACCAAAAATTTGATTGTTTCCTTTTTGCTTGTCCTTTGAGCAGTCTAGTTCAGGTCACCATCATGCCTCAGTCTGAATTCCTACCTCATCCCGATCTCCTTCCATACTATTCAGGGCTACCAGAGGCTCTTTCTAAACATAAGTGTGAATTCATCCCTCCATCACTTTTCTCTGACCTTCTGCTTCTTAGGGTAGTGATCTCATCCCAGGGCTGAGTTGGGTCGTCTTTTGAGATGCAGAAATAAGATATTAGAACTTCCATTTACACCTTTTATTATTTATCTTGAAAAGCCTTTTAAAAAATATTTTTGTGTATGTATATAAGATATATATTTATAAAACATATTTAGTTCTGCTAGCCATTAAAACCAGGTATAGAAATAAATTAAATTTTGAATCTGACCTTTGCATTATCATATCACAGTTAAGATTCTTTTTTTTTTGAGTTGGAGTCTCACTCTGTCACCCAGACTGGAGTGCAATGGCCGCTCCCAGCCACCGCAGCCTCGCCTGCTGGGCTCCGGCAATCCTTCCGCCTCAGCCTTCCAAGTAGCCGGAACTACAGGCATACGCCACCACACCCAGCTGATTTTTTGGTTTATTGTAGAGATGAGGTCTCGCCGCCCAGGCAGGTCTCGAACCCGCGGGCTCAGGCAATCCACTCACCTCAGCCTCCCAAAGGCACAGGATTACAGGCTGAGCCACCGAGCCCGGCTAAGATTCTTTAAAAAAGAATTATGCTCAGACCCATTGCTCTCTCTAGGCAATGGTGAAAGCAGGAAGATTTGTGTACTGTAATTAAATAAAAATATATGATTGATGTCATCATTGTCCTTTAAAATCCATATTTCATGTGTATTTTATAGTATGTTTAAAACATATAAATATAATTAATAGAATAGAAAATAAATACAATTTTATCAGCTATTACATATCTTCATATAGCTTTGTTGATAAAGGTGAGAGAATTAAAATATTCAGATATCACTGACCTACAAGATAAAATTGAAACTTCCCAGCCTGGCACACAAAATCCTTTGTGATCTATCACATGCCTCCACTATTCCTTTCAATTCTAATGTACACATTGGACACCAGACTTTCAAGCAACAGGTTGTTGTCTAAACCTTGTGTTCTTTCTTCCTTCTCTGGGTCCATGCTGCTTTCTCAGTTTGGAATGTCCACGGCCTTATTCAATCGAAGAGCTCCTGCTCATCTTTTAGGGTGAAGCTTAGGTGTAACTGTGGCCAAGAAGCCTCCCTGATTTTCCAGTCTGGATTTCGTGAACTTTCTTGTGTTCTAATTGCATCCTGGGTGAATAATAATAATGAGGGCAATGTGTTAGAATCACCAGTCTCCTCTAAAATAGTTGAGGGTAAGAACTTTGCCCTGTCTTGTGTCTGACAATAGATGTTTACTGAGTAGGTAGATGGATGGGTGTCCGATACCCTCCATCAATGTTCCTACGTATCTAAGCTCTTTGATCAAGAGAGTAAGCCCCTTAAGGACAATATTCCTGTCTGAGTCATCCTTGTATCTCTCACAGCCTGGATCATCATGCCTTTCAAACAGCCGTACTTAAAAGACGATTCTTTCCTTTCATTAAAGAACAAATGAATAAAGGATTCCATGTATTCAACTGAATCACTACATTCTCTGTTCATACCAAGTTGCAAGGTAGTGCAAAGTTATTTATATAGGAAAGTAAATTTAAATTGGGTTGAGAATATGGAAATATTAAAATAAATTAGATATCAGAAAGGCAAGCCACGATCATTAGAATACACATTTGTAACGAAAGACTGTGGTCATTCTTGACGCTGGTGAAGTTCCTAGGTTCTGGGTCATTGTTTTGACTTTAACTTTTACATTAAAAAGTATATAGTACCCTACATCCACTGACAATGAAAGGACAACACGGACAATGTGGGAACCATTTGAAGAAAAAACAAATAAACAAACAAAAAACCCAAACAAGAGAAGAAAGAGCATACAGCACTTGAGAGGAGCCTGAAAAGCATGTCCGTTTCTGACACACTTTCCCAATGAGCTTCTGTGAGGGAGGTTACTGAGAGTGGCCATCTGTGCTGTCACCAACCATGACCACTACTGTATTACCCAAGTGTATGGTGGGATTGCCCTCCCCACTTGCCTGATGTTATTTTTGACCAATGAGATGTGAGCAGAAGTAATATGTGTCACTTCTGGGCAGCGGCTTTAAGAGTCTTATCTACCAAACTCCTTTTTAGAATTCTTCTCTCCTGCATCCATCAGGATAGGTATGGTGGCTCACACCTATAATCCCTACACATTGGGAGGCCCAGGCAGGAGGATTGCTTGAGTCCAGGAGTTAGAGACCAGCCTGGGCAGCATAGGGAGACCTCGTCTCTTTAAAACAAAACAAAACAAAACAAAACAAAGCAAAACAAAACACACACATAAAATTAGCTGGGCATGGTGGTGTGTATCTGTAGCCCCAGCTACCCAGGAAGCTGAGGAGGGTGGACGGATTCCTGCAGCACTGGAGTTTAAAGCTATAGTGAGCCATGATCATGCCATTGCACTCCAGCCTGGGAGAAAGAGTGAGACTCTGACTCCAAAAAAAAAAAAAAAGCATTTCCTGAATACACCATCAGTCAAAGAAAGAGCTCATGATGGAACCTTCTTTACCAGACTCCTTGAATTAGGATGAAGTGTACGGTATCCAGTCATCCCCTTAACTCTCCCATAATGAACATAAAATGTGAATGGAAAAGAAATCTTTACTGTTTTAAGCCACTGAGATTTGGGGATGTTTGATACTTCAGCATAATCAGGACTGTACTCTCTTGCACAATCATTCGTCTCCATTTGCATTTTTCTTATTATGTGGTCATCACTGCAGTGTGAGGTTAATATCACGGACTTCAGTGCTAGACTACTGAGTTTGCATTTTGCCCATTTTACGACCTTTAGGAAGTTATTTTACTTTTCTATAGATGCTTCAATCTCTGCACCTATAAAATATTGACAATAATAATAGCATTATCCAGATGAAGCCAATAAATATTTGTAAAGAGTTTCAAATAGCGCCTGGCAGAGACTAAGAAATACTTGGTTGCCTATCATTTACGAAAAAACTCCAGCCCAGGAAAGCAAAAACGTTTTCCCATGGCCACGGAGCCTGTAAGCAGGACTCTGGGACTCAACAGGTATAGGGACTATACCTATACACATAGGTATAGTCAGTGCTCAAAGCATGCAAAAACCCCATGCTTTTTGCAACACAGGTGCAGCTCTTGGTGTGGGATCGGGGGCAAATAGCTTGATCTGACCCTGAGTTTCAATTGTAAAATAAGGCTCTACCTGACTGCTTCACTCACAAAACTGTTGTGAGCCCCAAAGGAGATAACGGATGTTAAAGTGCTTTGCCAATTAATGGTGAGGGACTATTAAACAGCACATGGCGCTAATGCCATTAGGCAATTAACATGACACAGGAAATGCACTGGAGCAATCCTAATGAAGAGACATTTAGATCTTTTGTTTTCCTCTATATACACAGATCTTAACAAGAAGATAGATTTTTTTTTAATGGTACAGCTTTTTTTTTCTTTCTCATTCATTTTATTTTGTCTGGAATTTGACTGAAATAAAAACTAATAATGAAACCATGTCAGAGTAATTAATAATTTACAGATATCGACCCTCTTCGGAAAGGCTACCTCGTGCTTGCAAAGAACCACAAACACACACAATGTATTTCAAGATCATTTCTTGGGGAGGGGGAAACCTCTGGGCCTTCTTTATTTTTTAAATTTATTTTAGAGTTGTGGGATACATGTGAGGATTTGCTGCATAAGGAAATTGTGTCCAGGTGAGGTTTGGGCTTCTAATGAGTCCTCTCTCTCCTTGATGGTGGACATGTCAGTCAATGAGTGGTTATGCACCCTTTATTCCCCTTTCCTCTATTCCTTCTTTAGCAGTTTCCAGTGTTTGCTGGTCCCACTTTTATGCTCGCATGTCCAAGGTTTAGGGCCTGCTTATGAGTGAGACCATGTGGTATTCAGGGGTCTTTTTGCTCCTGTGATAGCTCACTTAGAATGATGGTCTCCAGCTGCATCCATGTTGCTGCAAAGGACGTGGTTGTATATTCTATGGCTGCGTAGTACTGCTCTGGGCATTCTTGAAACCAAAATGGAGGCAGTTCTGCTCTGAGTTAAGACTTGCTCAATTCTTCCTGAGCAGAGTCCCAGAGATGCTTTGCTGTGCATAATCAGCCACAAATTAAGAGAAAGCGACTATATAGCACCTGCATTACAAACATCTGCACCTTCTCTTTCTGTTTCACACACTCTGAGGTTCCAGAGAGCAGGGATACCACCTGTTATTCCCA